TTGCATTCAAATTGGGTTTTTATGATATCCTTTCAGGCCCTAAAGCAAGATGTGACAGTGTCCACTGACAAAACGTGAATTTTAAAACTTTGTCCTCTTATTGCGTGTCTTGCAAAATGTTTGGGCATGACTTTCTTTATTGCATCAAACCCATCCAAAATTAAAGAAATTAGCTTTTGAAGTGACTAGCAGTGGAGTCGAATCTTTTGATTAAAATATGGACAAACAAGAACTTTGTATTGCTAATACTCATGATCATTTGGATTCTAATGCACGCTCTACCAAGGCTTCACAAAGGGATTCTCATGATCTGACCATTTTTTCTACAAGCATCGTGTGAATTGATGCCTAAACTTGTGATATTACGCATATGTTCATCCATGTTATAGTTGATTCCTCTGGCATGGAGCTTGTTGATGATTCAAGCTCAATTTAATCTCCAAATTCCAGCGGAATTTTAACTAGTTCAGTGGATAAAGGGTTTAGATAGAATTTTCTCTTCAAAGCACTAATCAGAAAAAAGTATTTCACCACTTTTTCAGATTTATTATATTCAAAACAAGATGCAATAACTCCCAGATGATTTGAAATTGTAGAATTAGGTGTCTGCAGGTCAGCTCGCTTTCCTCCACAAGGATAGATGATATCCGAAATGCTTTATGGTAACATGATCATATGTGCTTTGCCTTTTTTAGAAGGGGCATTTACTTACATATCACACAATTCTTATGTATTTAAATATCTAATACCTAAACATTCCTACTTACATGCACCCACTCAAATCTTTAACATCACAGCTATAATATCACCATCAATATCTTCTTAAAAGTGAAATACATGTTTTTATGCATAAGTTTCTAACACCGAGGTATTGTAAGTGTAAATATCAAACTTCGGGTGCTACATATCAAAATTCTAAGTGTTGTATGGTATGAATGTAAATTTACCTTTCTAAAAATGGCAGCTAAATGTAATTGCTGTAAAAAACACAAATAAATAATGTATCCTGCACTAGTTATCCCGAAGACGAGAGCAACCTTCGCTCAAAGAGTCGTCATAGATAAGGTAAAGGCTGTAGAGGAATTGGTTCATATACAATCTATCAAATTACCATAAGATAATATACATGAAAAAAAACTTAGGCATCAAATCAAGAGACATACAAACATTTGAGAACATCTCAGATCGAGAATGAATGAAATAATCACTTGGCAGTGCATCTGAAGAGCCAACTCTAAAGATGAGAATTGCACAGTTGACGATATAAAATCTACAGAATCCAAAAATAATCACCATATGCGGTGCAAGCTAAAATGCAATCTCAAGATATGAATATTTATAATGTTTAAGTGAAAAAAAAAATAGTTCAAATCAGATGAAAGGTGATTGACTAGAATATATATCAATATATAATCAGATTGATGAACATATTATCATTATGAATATGAATACCAAGGATTATGAGATCAATTGTTTGAAGTCTGATGAGATGAGTGTGCAAGAGAGTGAAACTAGTAACATCATATTCATATTACCGGTAGTGATCATGGTTATAAACTCTATCACAATAAAAATAAACCGGATCCCGTCGTTGGGGAAGGCCATTTTCTAAGGGGATTTTGGTTGGTTGTTGCAAGAATATGGAGTATGAGCAGAGGTTCTGTAAGGATGTAGTGTCACAGAGCGGGCTTTTATGTTTTTTTAAGGAGTGTAAAGGTGGCGGAGTCGAGTGGTGGAAACATTGATGTAGCAAGACACAACAAAAACATTGCTTAGGAATATATTCCAATTCATGGCGTCGTTTTCCTTCCCGCTCGGCTCTGCTAAGGTTTCGCCTCGTGGCGAACCCTAGCAACTGTTACGGCTTCGCTGCTTCTCCTCCGGTGTCTTCGCGCCTGATTCCATTTCGTCTCCCTATCTTCTGGTTTTGCGAGTTTTCATGACTCTGAGACGCGGCTCGTCTCTCGTCTTCCCGTCTCACAAGCTTTCCCAGCTCGGGAGTTCCCGGCTTTGCGGCTCGTCTTTCCGTCTCGCGGGTACAACTCGCAATTTTTGCGGCTCCTTTGCTGCTCGTTACGTCTTACAGCGTGTTCTGCTTTTCAGCTTCGACTGTTTCGACGCGATTTTTCCCGTATTTATCAAAGTTGTTTTCTTCTTTGTTCTTAACGCAGCACATCTATTTTTTAGGATGGTTTCGGACAGATCGTATGCAGCTGCCCTTACGGGTGTCCACACCTCAATCGTCCTCTTTCTTTTGAGTAAGCAGAGGACATCAAGAAACCTGATATAAAGAATGAGAAGTCTGTCATCTTCTTTACAGAAGCTGAAGGTATTCAACTTGTTTCCTCCTGTCGTCTGAATTTGGTTGGGGAGTTTTTATATGGTCATCCTAAAATGGAGCTTATTCGCAAGAAATTTGAGCTTATGCACCTTGTTGAAGTGAAAAATTGGACTATTAGATGTGAGACACATTCTTATTCAAATTAATAACGAAGAAGATTACATTCGCTTATTTGCTAGAAGGATAATATTGATTGATAACAGAGCAATGAAGATTCTGAAATGGTCTGTGGATTTTGACCCACAGACGGAATCGTCAATCATTCTGGTTTGGATTCATCTCCTCGGTCTGAAATTTCATCATGTTTCTTACAAAAAGTGTTGCATTCTATTGCCTCAGCTTATGGTAAGCCACTCAAGACGGACATTCCTACTTTTAATCTTTATCTTTCTTCTGAAGCCAGAAGAGTCATAGTATTTATTGAAAGAGATATTACTTCTTCCGCTTCTGAAGAAATCTGGTTGGACACACAACATCATGGATATTGGAAGAAGATAAAGATTGAGCTTTATCCTTCGTATTACTCGAACTGTTGTATGTTCGATCAATCTAGTTCTCAATGTCATCATCTACACCCCCACCTCAGACAAAAAAGCAAAGTGCTCCGCTATCAGCTCCAAGTTATTAACACTATTGATCATCAAAAGGATACACCTGAAGAAGTCACTATCCACACAATCAATATGTCAACCATTCAGTCTCCACATAATGTTGTAGCTCCCCGTCTTTGGAACCTCCTATCGTCGAGGCAAGGGAGATTCTTCAGACTCCGTCTGCCCTAGAACCTATCACTGATATTACAGATGGAAATACTTATGCTGCTTTACTACCGCCTCATCAGGTCCAGAAAGATGTCAATGTTACTCAAACTCATGGGGATCATGATGTGCAACGGTCTGCATCTGTCTGGCCACCTTTGGACCAATCCATTGATCAGATGACTCAATCCTCGGATGAGGAATGACAGGTCTACACATTCAAGAGGAAGAAAAAGAATGGAGACCTACTTGAGCTCAGAAATCTGATGGATGATACTTTGGTTACTTCTGGTAATAGTAAGCACCTTACCAATTTGTTAGTCGGCTCCCTTCCGAGAACTAGAGGTAGAGAGAGGACTAAAGTAGGACGTCCCTAGCAATTTTGAGTCTGTTGATGGCTTTTTGGTTTTTTATTTTTATGTATCTTTGTTTTATTGAGTTTGTGTGTTGTATTGTGTGAGTTGGACCTTCTTTTACGCCCTCTCATACAACATATCTGTATCTTTTCCTCTTTAATATATTAGCCCATTGGCTTTTATAAAAAAAAACAAAAGCATTGCTTAGGAGCCATTTGGGATCATTCATTTTTGTTTTTTATTTTCTATTTTTTATTTTTATTTTCTATATTTTGTTTTTATTTTGATTTGAAACAAAACGTGTTCTATTTGATAAAGCTAAGGTTGTTTTTAAAAACACTCGAGTCTCCTAAAATTTATTTTGAGTATTTTCAAAAATATTTTACTTAATTTTTATAAACAAAAATAGAAGTATTTAAAAAAAACACATTAAGCATGCATGTTTTTAAAAGCAAAACAAAAACAACAACAACAACAAAAATTAAAAAAATAATTGATCCTGCAAAACAAGCACTTAACCGATAGAGGACGTGTTGCATTGCGGATGGTGTAGAGTGACTATAGACCAACAATGTCCTATTTTGGGTAGGTGCTGACAATGGTTTCAAGAGCAAGCAAAAGAGAATAGTAGATGAGAGCTAAATGGTAGTGTGGATCATGAAGATCAAAGTGAACTATGGAGATGTGAGACAGGATTAATGTACTCGTACCAGGATGAAGGAAGAAGAAATATATAAAATATAGATTAGAACCAGAAAAAAGGACAAAGGCTAGTGTTGGAGAAGAAATAATTTTGATTCATTACAATCATCAATAATGAAACCCTAAGGATCCTTATAGAGAGGAGGCTTTGCATAATTATAGAATAAGTCAAAGAAAACTAAAAAATTGCAAATACAGTGAGAAAACTACACAATATCATTTAAGTATAATAATGTTAAAATGGACTATATTCCAAAATATTCCCTCAATTTTTCGTAATTTAAAATTAAAGTATTACAATAATGTAGCTCATAAACTATATAAAATTGATCCAAAATGGTCACTCAAGAACTAAATAGAGATCAATTTTATATGGTCACAGAACTACATCGGGATCGATTTATACCATAATTTTCATCAATTTCTACCCTAGGGATCAATTGGATTCACTTTTATAAGGTCAAGGGGCAAATTTCAAGAAAAATGAAGCTCTTGGAGTAAATCAGTCGCATAGAAATGGTTGGGCGACTACTACTATGGAATTTATTCGATGTGCAAATGAATTAAAGATAACGCATCTGACATCAAATTCTCAGGCAACAAAAAAAAGTGACATGTGATAACATAAATAAAAGACAACAAGTATGCAATTTCTACGGAAAAATGACCTACACTAATAAGCACATCTGCAGGATTTAGTGATTAACAAGTCTATGAAGCATTCCATACATGTTTCTTGGAGAAAAAACATGTACCACACAAAACAAGCTAGTAATAAAACTATGCGGTCAATACAATATAAAAATTTCATCACTTAGTGGCTGTGATGGCTAAGGTCATTACCTAATCTCAAGATCTCCAGTCTGGTAAAGTAAAATTAAGCCACATGACTTCCCATCCCTTCTCTTGAAAATTGTTGACCAGCAACAATGTTTAATAAGTTTTATTTTGCGGCACGAGCGGCTCTCTCCCTGAATGTAAGGGTTAAGAAGGAAAAATGTCAAGACAAAAAGCTGAAATGGACTGAAAACATTTGAGGGGCATTCCATATGTAGAACAATATTCTTACGTATTTACATATCTTACAACTAAACTTTCATATTTACACGCATAGCACTCAAATATTTAATATTGCATCAAAAATAGCACTATTATTACTTTTTATAAAAGTCAAATACACCTTTTAATGCATATATTTAAAGCACCAAAGTGCTATGTTTGTAAATATGAAAGTTTAGGTGTGAGGTAGGTAATACATACAAATTGTGTGCTACATATGTAAATTTCCCAAAATTTTAATGATTATTCATGAAATTTGGAGTGTATAGATACCTGTAGCACAGATTTCAAGGAATACAATCGCACTGAATTTTCACAACAAAGTAAAAAAAGTGGATACAACAAAAGATCCGGAGAGCTTGAAGCATCGCTAGAATGTTGCTCAATTCCTTGTTTCTTGTTACCACTGAAATCATCATAATTTTTGTAATCACCTTTGGATGAATGCTCATCTAATACGTTTTGCTTCTCATCCAGAATCTCTGAGACTGTAGGACCATCTGATTGGAGAATTATCACATGTCAACTTCTTCGATAACCAAAATATGCATTGCTACCATTATGTTTTGAAGTAAAGGGCATTTACATACATAGCACACAAATATGTACTCACATATCTCACACCTAACCTTTCATATTTACACACATGGTACTCAAATCTTTAATATTCAATCAAAAATATCACTATTATCACTTTTTTAAAAAGTGAAAGACACATTTTCATACATAGTTTTAAAGCATCAAAGTGTTAAGTAGGCAAAAATAAAAATTTAGGTATGAGATATCTAAATACATAAGAATCGTGTGTTGCGTAACTTTCCTTGAAGTAATTACTTGCCTATAACGTACATGGAAATTGCCGCAGAATCCTTTTTTGAATGCTTGGACCATGAAGTCAATGTTTTTCCGCTTGTGCTGTTAACAATAATAACATGGCCATCCTTAGTTAAAATAAACATTAATAATTCTGATGATTCTTTAAGATCTTCAGGTCTTGGATGCATTGAACTGCTTATCATGGTGTTGACTTGCGGAATCACTTCCATTGCAATAGATATGACCTGAGAACTTGTGCTAGATAAACAATCTGTTTGAAATAAAGTTGTATATGAAGTCAGATCCAGCATTGCAACCTGGAGACCACCAAGCTCAATTAACTTACCAACAAAAAAAACTCAAAAAAATAAAATAAATAAGGAGCATTTACATACATACCACCTAATTCTCATGCATTTACATATCTAACACCTAAAGTTAACTTTCTATATTTATATCGCCCAAATATGTCACATCACATCAAAAATACCACCATTTTAGCTTTTGAAAAAAATGAAATAAACCTTTTTCATAAAAACAGAAGTTTAAGTGTTAGATATGTAATACAAAGGAATTCAGTGTTATGTATGTAAATCTTCCAATAAATAAATATATACTTTTTATTTTGCATGTATATCAGTGGAATGTGTATGGGACGGCGACGAAGAAAAAAACAGACCATAAAACACAGTACTGTCTACCTTGCCACTTTCAAGTCCAACGGCTAATTTGTCACCGCAATTTGCAAATTGTAGAGTTCTAATGGGCGAACTTAAATTGAAAGCAGCAGTGTAATGAAATCCTTCTCCTTGGCGCACGGGGCGAACTATTAAGAAAAAACAACAACAACAATATCTCAAGCAGCACAATATATATGATGAATACCAAATATCAAAGGCTTACTGCAGCAGTTGAGGAAAAAAAACAAGCCGGTTTGGCAAATATGTTCATTAACTTGGTGGGTAGGCGGTTAAAGGATACAGTGGGTGCCTTTCTTTTCAAGTATAGTAGAAACGAGAAGCAAAGTTGCTTTGAAAATGGTTTAATGTGTAATTTTACTTGAGGATCGTATTCAAGTTTGCGCAAAGTAAATTTTAAGTCTTTCTGAGGTCATAAATTCCTGAGATTTAAAGGCTCATGAAGGTCATTTAATTCATTAGGTGTGCAATGTGTATGAAGATTCAATAAAAAAACTAAACTACTACCAGTTGATCTCTGAATGAATAGTCAAGGAATTAGAAAGGGGTTGAATTCAACACTGCTTTTAAGTTTTCAAAACAACTGTTTTAACAAGAATAAAAAAACCTTTCTCTAATTGAACAACAATTTCAAGCAAATAACTTCAGAAATTTTTTTCCAATTTGAACAGTTCGCTTTCAATTTAAATTGAGATTGAAATCAGACACAGAAGCAAATAAAATTATAAAAAAGACATTTTTTTAAGTTGATAATTCATGAATATTTGAGAAAAAGAAATCATTATAAATACAGTTTAAGAACCAATCCTTCTTCTGATACAACGCACTTCATAATATAGTGTTAATTGATGTGCCAAAATTGCACGATAATGCAACTTAATAATATGCATGTTAACAGGTTTATGTGTTTTTGGAAGGGAGGAACATGAATTCTGTTTTAAAACTTACAAGTAGATATATGAAGATTGGAAAAGGCAAGGTGATGTTTTCTTGGTCAATATCACTACAATTGTCTGGTGGTTTATTTGGGTTACTAGAAATAATGTGAAGCATTTGGAAAGAATCCCTAATTGCTCTGCTACATTTTTTATGATTGTGAATTTTTGTTATAAAAGTTTAAAATACAATGAACCTAAGTGACGGCTATGTAGCAGGATGATGGATGTTTAATTGAAATTTCAGATACCTGCTCCTGTCATTAACTGTGATGATGTGCATTGGATTAAACCTGTTGCTTCTTATATTAAAGTTAACGTGGATGGACGTTGGAATGCTGATTTGGCTGGTGTAGGTGGTGTGTGCAGGAATTTTTTTGGTGTTGTTATCTGTTGGTTTGCGGCTTCTTCTGTTTTTGTTTCTCCTCTGTTTGCTCAAGCAAATGTTGTTGTTTTTGGCTTGCTGGTTGCTAAATGTTTTGGTTGGGGGCGAGTTCATGTAGAAATGGATTATTTAATACTCTGGAATTTTTGCAGGAAGATGGATTTTCATTGGAGCATTCAATTACAGATGAGAAGAATTTTTTATTTGTTTAAGAATATTGATATCACTTCTCATGTGAAAAGAGATGGTAATAAACAAGCTAATTGGGCTGTTCGCTTGGGGGCTAAACTGAATTCAGTTGTGGTTTCCAAGTTTTTGCCAAATGAACTTCATTTGCTGATTTTGCAGGATTTGTAGTTTCTTGTAGCTTTTTTGTCGGGCTTGTTGATGGAGTGAGTTGTAATTTTTTGGTTTTTTGGGGGAGAACCCTAGGTTCTATTTTTTTGTGTTAGTTATAAGTGGGGTGTAGTGGCGATCTCTTGTCAGCCTTTTGTATTTGATTTTTGTGTGGAATAAAATTCCCTACTCTATTTCTTAAAATAATAATGATAATAATAATATGCATGTGCATGTTAACAAAGATGCCAGCCAGCTTCAGTGCGACCCCAGCATGTCAGCCAACACTTCATAAGCATTAAAGGAAAGCAAAACTATGTGAACAGGACAAGCTCAGCAGCATCTGCCAACATCTCGGAGCATAGTTCATTCTATATGCACGGTGCTAATTTGAAACAAAGATGAAAAGAATTAACAACTTATTATGGCAAAATATGTAAACTTTAATAAGGATCATGTTCTTCTAGCATATCTTTTAAGAAAGGAGACCAAAATACCGTCTTTTACAAAAGTAACACCCAACTAATTCCATTTGCAATTTGAACATCCAAATCTCAAAGAGAACACCAATATCTCAAAATGAATTTTGAAATAATATAATTTATTATTTAATAATTAAAAGTAATAAAATAATAATATTGTTAATATTAAGACAATATTTAATAAAAGAATTAAGATTCAATAAGTTCATTAAAAAAAAGGGTTTAATTACCGCTCACTCGACACCAGTTAAACAGATCCCTACAAGCAGGATTAACCGACGGCTCAGAACCGTCATTCCTCTCATCCTACATGAGACACAGAGGGTGCAAAAGAGGGAAGAAACAAAGAACGAATGTGAGGGAGGGAGGCGAATGTGTGAGAGATCGAGGGAGACCAAGCAGGCACATCCTCCAATCGCATCAGCGAGCGGAATTTTGCCGCATGTAAGACACCTGCACGGCATCTGTGAGTTGCGAGTACGAGGTAGGGAAGCGAATGCGTGAGAGATCAAGCGAGACCAAGCAGGCACATCCTCCAATCGCATCAGCGAGCGGAATTTTCACGCACAAAAGACACATGAGTGAGCGTCTGTGAGTTGCGAGCGCAGGAACTAGTTAGCAACAAAGAAAAAAGTGTCAAACCCAAACTTAGGGCTTTTATTCATCTTTTCTTCCTTGTGCTAGAGAATGATTTCTAGCAAATTCATTGAAAATTTTCAGAATCCCTAGAATCAAATTTCTGAATTATTATGTTTTAAAGTTTTGATTTGAAAGCTGAAATCAAAACAAAGGGGAAATTTCATGTATGGCATCAATTTTCAATCACAGGTTTTTTTTTTCTTTTTATAATTTATTTATTTTTAGTAAGAAAAGGCTAAGATTAAATTAAACTTTAAGAACCCTAGGATCATTTACAACTCAAATATGCCAAAAAGAAATTTTAGGAACCATAAAAAAAATCTGAAAGGTTTTTGTTATAGATTTGTGTTATGTCTTAGGGAATTTTAAAATTAGTTAGTCAAGCTGAATTACTGATTTTTGAAAAAGCCAGTATTCATATAATTACAAATAAAAAGTTATATGGCTTAAGATAATCGGAGAAATTTAGCAATAAAGTAATTAATTAGAGAAAAAATAAGAAAATGAAAAAAGGTATAAAAGCCTAGATGCAAATGTTTCACATTTTTAAATATGTTATTATAGCTATATAAATGTGAGTATTATGAATGAAATAAAATTTCAACAAGCTTTAAAAGACAGAAAATGTTAAATTAGGATTTAAAATTCTAAAAATCTTTAAATATTAATTTTGGCGTTTAAAATTTGAATAATTATCTATTAATGTTGGTAAAAGATCAAATAACATACTATGCAAGCATAAATCTATGCTAATCAAACATAATTTGTAACTGCAGGTACATCAAAGAAATAGGTTGACCACACAAAAAAAAAAAAAAAAACTGACCATACTGAGTAGGTGGGTAAACATATTTTTATTTTGCAATGATCTTTTTTATTTCTGAAACCAAATGCAAATAGCTTGTAGTAGACTTTTAAAAACAATTAACATGTTTCATTTTTATTTAGTATTTTCCTTTAAAATATAAATTTCATATATTTTGTATGCTTAAATTGTTTGAGCCAAATGTTCAACAAAAGAAGACAATAATAAATGGCATATGCATATGCGTGTTTAAATATTAAAGTAACCCGATATAATACTAGCTTGGAAAGCAACGTACCCGTAGACATAAAAAGAAATGAAAATGAAAAGAATTGCCTATCTTTTAGGTGGGCTTTAAAAAAGGCAATAAAAGGTGTACTTTTATTTAACTTATAGATAGGGAATATTTTTTTACCGATGTTTTATATAAAATAAATAAAAGTAATAATAAAACTGATTTATTCATTTTCTTCATTTACTATTTTATTTTTGGTTTTTCATAAAACCAGAATATATACTACTTTAATTTATATAAATGTCTTGAAAAGTGAATTATTGTAATTTAAAGACATTCTATCCGCTGAGTTGATTAATTTGACATTTAGTTGCTAAATGATTTTAGAAAAATCTCCTTTAGAGTAAATGGACAATAGAGACTATGCCTACAGATGTCACAGAGCCCCACGAGATAGAAAAAGTAATCCAGTTATTACTTTTAAAATAACTTTAATCAGTGAAATCTAAATGGATTTTGGTTAATTAAATTTTTTAAATATAAATGGATCTTTTATGTTTGGGATGATTTTTATATATGAGATTTTTTTTTAAGAAAAATACTTAGACAAAAATTTCTCCATCCAATCGTCCGTTTCTGTTTTGATTTTTCAAGCTCCTAAATTGGGTAGTAACATAAATTTTGTTTCATCATATTCTCAATAAGTAGGTCATGGTAAGCACAAACAAAACGGTTTATCGGTCCATTTCTTTTGGATGGGGTATTAGTTTCATACATAATCAAATTTGAGCAGTATATAAGCATTTTTTTTCAAAAAATTTGCTAGCATATAAAAATGGCAGCACTGATTAGGCATTAAAATTTTGAATGGTTGTTTCATGCACTCTAGTGAAGATTATAGGTTTAGAGGGACTCCAATAGCACGGTTTGAAGCAAAGATGCAGTTTATTGGTGGTGTTTTAAGGACTTTGTAATTCAAATTGAAGGAGAAGGACTGTGACAAAAGAGTTGAGGGGTTAGAATATGTACTAGAGAAAAAAATTGCCTGAGCAACAACCAACCAAATTTGCCAAAATGCATGCTCAACCTAAAATCCTAGCAACACACCACTCGTTCTTCCTAAGTGTCCGTTCATATTCATATTGTTTCAATGTAATGCACCAATACTCACACAGAAAACAAGTCTATTTTGTCAACATCCCTGGCAAATAAAATAATAGGGCATCAAAATAAACAGCAGTTTCCTTCATGTCTATTCACATTAACAAATTTGTTGAAAGTATTGGAAGTCGAAACCAAGTCCAACAGCTA